CAGCACCTTGGATTCCTGTACCTACCAGGCCGCTGGAGCCGGTCCCGATGTTTTGGTCTGTTGAATCTATGGTTTTGAGTTGGTTCCATTGGTTCCCAGAAATCCAGGTGCCAGTTTTGCGCTGCTCAAGTGCCAGGTGGATTATGCGCTAAGTCCTGGCGTCACCAGCCCGGTGCGTTGTCGCTATCCACCCTTCAATCCTGAGGAGCTGATTTCAAGATATTTCAAGGGTAAGATTGAAAAACAGATGAGAAATGGCGACCGTTGGGTATGGTTTACTAAGTTTACTATTTGATTGATCACTTGAGTCTTGCCAGAAACAGCAACTTGCTAACAGCAATGGTTGTAAGAAGTGGTGCTGATTCACGGGCTTTAGACACAGCCGGGACACGATCGGAAGACTTTGAAGACCAAAATCCTCCCTTTTGCTGGGGTTTTCAGCCGATCGCATGTGACATGTTTTCGTGTTTGATGGTTTTTGATGGTTTTGGAGCTTTTCAGTTATTGATCACAGAATATGATTATGTATTCCTCTGCTCTGAAGTTGGACTTGGCTCAAATTTGTTGACCCCCCAACATTGCGTAAAATCTAATGGAGTCAAACTCTATGACAGATAGAAACGGATGTGTGGATGATCTAGCAGTCATTCATCGATTCGAGGCTGTTTCTTATTGTTTTTTTTTTTATCAGAATCCTTATCGACAAATCGGTATTCTGGGTTGAGTCTGTTTTTTCCCCTGCTGATGCCTTGATTTTGCAGTGCAATCTCCATGTTGCGCCGTAGGACATGGTGGAAGCTGGCCTTCGCTGTCCCGGGGACTGGCACTGGAGTTGGCGTGACATGTGGAGAGTTTGACCCGGCAAGCCATTGGTTTTTGTGGCATTTTGAATCCTTACTTTGGGGATGTCACAAATGTATTGTAACACATTAATTATAACATATTATAACCCAACATCGAATATCCACCTTTCAAAAATTATTGTGATCATTATTGTTAATTACTACTACTATTGCTACTAGTATTGCCATTTTCATTATTCTTATTATTCATAGTGGTATACACCACTGAAATTAACCAATAGCTCTGTGGGATGCACGTCCAAGAAAGTTGCGGGGTTCATCAGTTTTACCACATGGAACAAACACACACGCTTTATTCCGTTATATATATAATACAAACTGATACACATTATTATTGTTATCATTATTGTTATTATTACTATCATTATCAGTATCATTATGAATTATTCATTAACTATTACTTTTTTGGTTATAGTTGTATATATATATATATATGTACATGTATTATCTTATATATAGCACAACATCGAGTCCCCCCTAAAAAAACCAGATCGACGACATCAGTCGATTTCGAACTCGGAGCCAGGACAACATCCAAGCGGACCGCGAGGCCGAGATCCTTCAGCTGCCCAGCTGTGAAATGTTCTGTCCGAGCCCCCCACCGCCCGCAGGCTTGTTTTTTTTTGGGGGGGAGGAACTTTAAAAATAAGGGGAGGGACAAAAGTTGATGGGGGTAGAGTTGCTACGATTTCTAACTGTTTCTATTTGTTCCTGAATGGGTAGCGAAGGGACCTACTCATGCCATTTAAAGAATTTATAGAATGCATTCGGATTCGTGGATTCTATCAGGTTTGTTTGTTGCGTTTCAAAAACATGTTGGGAACTCAAAGTTCTCACTCCCATCGGGAGGCTATGTGAAGTCTCATGACCTTCTGAGCTTTGGAGAGAACGAGACAGGAGTGGAGATCAACAGGCTCTTCCTGCGCTGACTGCTGAAAGATGTGAAGGGACTGGCAGTGACTAGCACAAGAGCCATTTTTTGTGATCAGTACTGCATGTTCTTGCTATACAGTATACATATTATGTATATGATTGTATATGTATGTATATACTGTGTGTGTATACGTATATATATATATATATGTATACACATATATATATATATATACATGGATGGATGGATGGATGGATGGATGGATGGATGGATACATAGATAGATAGGCCCTGAACTTCCAACCGCCAGTTGTTTGATTGCTGGATCCACGGGTTTTCCGCAGGGCACCAGCCTACAGCTGTGCAGATGGCTGGACGGGAACGGCGAATCATAGCTGCATGATCGATCGGAGCAATGGAAAATGCTCCATACCTGTGTGGCTTGGCTCATGGTGCCATTGGTGCCATCATGGCATCTAAAAATCTTGGGAAAACCATCGAAAACCCATTCCACTGGCCCACTGGTTATATAATCAATGTTGATCATTATGTGATTCCCATATGATTTCCCATTAACCTGGCCCCAAATTGGAATAAATTGGAGCTATACCCCATGTTCAGACCCATTTGTTTGACCATTGATGGGATGAACATCCAGCATCAGCTATATCTGGCAGTTTCTCTTGGAGGTAGAGCGCATTCGATGAGCATGTGACTATAGTTGAGTACAAAAACACGGCACGTCTATGAAAGGATTACCATGGATTACCCTATCCAAGGACCAAACTTGCCAAGTCTTCCCATTCACATAGAATTTCGACTGGGTTTGAGACCAAGGACTTTCCAGGGTTGCTTCCAACTGGTGCCATGCAAACCCATCGATCCGCGCTCTTTTGACGTGCCTTGTAGCAATGGCGCAGGGGCATGGAGGGTTTCAGCGGGACGCAGGTTTGGATGTTTCTGGCGAGCCATCAAAGCCCAGGTTTGTACCTACAACATCACTGAGTGCATGGAAAGGAGTCAGGACTGCGGGGTGCATCATGGATAATCATAGTCAAGATTTCAGGCCCTTGAATCCACATATTTTGGCAGTTTTTTTTAAACATGTTTTTTTTTGTGGTGACGAATCACACTTCCGCAGTGCCCAAACTATGACCCATACCCAGGTGGGGTTGAGTCAACAAGTTTTTGGTCATTTCTGGTGGCAACACATCCACTGCGTAGCGAAACACTGCAATTTCACTCTGAAATTTATGGCGGGCAAAAATTAGGGTGGAATCTAGGACACGATTCTGACCATCTTGTACAATGTGGGGCCCCCGTTCGATAGCTAAGTTGGTTTATAACTCCAATAACTATGGTTTATGGTACTTATAACTATAGTTACTGGGGCTTATAAACCAACTTATAACTGGGGGGCCTCACATTGTAGCATTTTTATGTTTACCATCATACTTTTCTCGAGTTTTGATCCGTCAAAACACGGCACAACTCTGCAGCCGTTCTTGGCCGTACTATCTCCCAACCCCGGGCGGAGCGCATGCTCCGACTGCGGCGAGGATACGGTGGGCCCCTACACTGGCCCAATGGGTGGCACCAGCTGCGAACTCTCCTGCCGCGATCCAATGCTAGGTTGGAAAACCAGATGTTGGAGGGCATGACGTTACTGGAATCATGGCAAAATAAGGTAAGGGCAGTCCAAAATGGCCGCACTTTTCGGCTTTCATAATGTAAGCAAATTATTTTTAGATCTCCCAAAATCAGGTAAGTATCCCAAATGTAAGTGAATTATGAACATTTGTCCAGATGATTTGATTATTTTACACCAGAATGAGCCAAGAAACATGGGATCAGACTCCACAGTCGTACAAAGTCATCCAGATTTTGGTGCAGATGATGTACTTATTATAAGATTTAACAAAAACAATATTGATTAAACTGGATTTGCACCAATTTTCGTTGATAAAATCTTGGCATAAGATCCAATATAATCTGGTAGTCCAGATCAAGCAAACAACAATTAGACGAACTGACTATATAATCCTAATAATCTACGTAGATATTCCAAACATTTCCAAACAATCTATATGATTCATCATAATCTAGATAGTCTATTAGTCTTAGTTGGTCTCATTTACCCTAAACAGTTTATTAGATAGTCTATTTTTGTAATGGTCTTAATCACAATAATCCAATTTGCCCTCCTGTAAACTTTTTTAATGGGTAAATCGGTAAATCCGCTATAAATCACCATTTTCAATAGCTATGTTTCCACTATAATTCACTGTAAATCCACTATAAATCCACTATAAATCACTATAAATCCACTATAAAACCCATCATTTGCAGTTCATCTTCATCAGGAAGTCATGGGAACAATCCACCAGGTGATGTCACCACGGCGTCCTGTGAAGATTTGAACATCAATCCCAACAGGACCTGGGTGCTGGCCATGTTCAGTATCAAAACATCTCCAATAATTGCGTACAGCCATTATATATTATAATATGTGTATATATATATATTATTATATATATATTATTGTATATTATATATACACATATATAATTATGTATACATATGAATATATATATATATACACACGACACACTTGTATTCTATATATACATATACACATGCAATACGCACACCTGAGATCGAGCAATTCCGGGAGACCTGCCACAGCAGAAGGTGGCATTGCTCAGTTGGTTTCACAAACTTCGGCACCCCATCCCTTAATTTAACATAGCCATGGAATATCACCGTGTTTAATAGGTAAATCATCTACAGATGCGCCATCTACTACCGGCAGGGGATGGTCATGGTGATCCAGAAATATCAACGGTTAATGGACGGTCACCATAGGAGAATCCTCACCGTCCATGACCGCAGCAATATATTACAGGAGGATGGAGTATCAGCTACCAACGTACCTCGGCGCAGAAAGGTTGAGTTTATTCTGCCGTACTTGAGCAGACTTCATGGAGGGTATTAGATACGATAGATTATAGATAGATTATAGATAGGTTATAGATTTAGACCGTATTTCCCAATACATTTTTGGTCTTCTGCGGTTTGGACGTGGTTAGAACATCCAGAACATCCCAACAGGATCATCCAGGATCATCCCATGGCGAAAGCTATGGTTTTTTCCTCAGGTGCAGCATGTATTGTCCGAAGCCTACGACCCTGCCGGATGGCTACGAACATCTTGGCAGCTTGGCGTGGCCCACGTGCCCACGTCCGGTTTCATGCTGATAGGCCCGCAGTGATAACAAAAAATAAGCCCAGGTGGTATCCCCAACAGCAAAGGTAGGAAAGAGTGACAGCCAGTGAACCCACACCCCTATCTAGTTTCAACCCTGGCCTAAGATTGAGATCTGGAAAGCAGCTACAAAATTGTTTTTGAACATGTTTTTGTTTTTGTTTTTAATGAAAAAATATGTTTTTAAATGAAAAAAATGATTAAATTTATGATTTGAACATTTGCTTTAAAACGATGTATGATTGTTTTATTTATTTATTTTTTTAACAGTTTTTTTTTTTACATGTGTTTTTTTAAATTATTTTTTAATGATAGTTTTTTGATTTGTTGTGTGTGTTTTTTTTTTGAAATCATTTTAAAATCTATTTTTGGAATGTTTTTTTTAAATGTTTTTTTACTAATGGATTTGCGTTATTTATTTTCTGTTTTGCGGTTTTGCGTTTGTTCATGTCAGCTGAACTGAGAGCTGATAGATAGTTGCAGCTGACCTGGAAATTGGGGCAAACATTGAGTTGACTGAGTTGACAATTAGCAGCAACTAGCTAACTAGCAGTAAACTTAACAAGTGAAGCTTTCAATGTGTAACTTCTTTTTTGTATGACAAGATTTGCTGGCAACTATCACACAGCTCTGATCTGTTAGCTGTGAACCCTACCAGTTGTGAGTTTTGCTCAGGGGTCCTGCTTTTAGCTGGGAAGGGTGCATGATCAGTTCAGAATTAGTGACCTATGCCTAGGCCTAGTTTCTTTGCTCGGTTTCCAGCTGCTTGCAGCCAGCTGCCCACTAAGTTAGTAGGGCCTAGGGCCTACGGCCAGTTTCTCTGCCATCACCTTGTCCAAAAAATCAAAAGCGAGTGCCTTTAGCGAACCAACCCTTAAAAAACATAAACAAAGCATAAAAAACATCATTAAAACATCATATAAAAACATAAACAATCATATAACTCATAAACAAATCATTAAAAAGCATCAACAATCATTAAAACACATAAAAGCCATAAAAAACATCATAAAATGTGTCATGTTTTTTTTTAAAAATGATTTATCATTATTTCTTTCATGTTTTTTTTAAAGTTTTTTTTTAATGTTTTTTTCAACGTTTCTTTTAATGTTTTGTTTTTTTAAATGAATTTTTAAATTTTTTTATGACACTTTTGGAGCCTATCTCGAGTCTAGAGGGCGTCACCCTGCCCCCGGAGCTCTCTAGAGTTTAGGGTTTGGGGTTTAGGGTTCGCCAACACAGCTGGCGCCCAAGGCAAACCTGGGCAATAAGTATCACCCTTGAAAGTAACACCTTTTTCTTTTCTGGGGTGGTCACGCCCTAAGCTCTGATTCTTAAGTTTTTCCGTCTAAGAAAGACTACCTTTTAACTTTGCCCCTGTCTTTCGTTAAGCCCGGACCTAGCTTTTCCTAAGCCGGTCCACCTCGCCTAGCAGTCCCTTCTGACCCTTTCTAAGCGGCTTCTTCTTTGTGCCTGGCCCCCTGCCCCCTTTCTAAGCTGCCTTCCTATAGGTTGGATTGCCCTTCGAGATGGGGTGTCGCCTCATTTCGAAGCCTTCCTGGGTTGGGCTGCCCTTTCTAGCCCAGGCAAATTTTGTCTAAGCTTTTCAAGCAATCCTGTCTAAGAAGCTTTATTATAGCTCCCCTCGTCACCTGACCCCTCTAAGCATCTTTTTATCAGCTGTCCCCTTTCTACAACGGCCCCCTTTCTAGCCTACCCCCCACCAGCCGGCCCCTTTTCTAAGCTGCCCGGGCAACCCTTTCTATCTGAGCCGCTCAAAGTGCTTAAGCCCCTCAATGCTGGCTTAAAACATTTCAACCTGTGTTGGCGCATAAGGGCCGCTAGGCCTAAAAGTTTTGGATCCTAAAAGTTATGGTATGGCTGTGGTCAGCTTCAAAATTCCCGTAGGGAGCAAAAGTAGGGCCTGTATTGACCCACCTTAAGCTTCAAAATCCATCCAGGAAGCAAAAATAGGGCCTAAATTAGCCAGGGAACAAAAATAGGGCCTATATTGGTCCACCTTAAGCTTCAAAATTCATCCAAGGAGCAAGAATAGAGCCTATATTGGTCCACCCTAAACTTCAAAATTCCTCCAGGGAGCAAAAATAGAGCCTATATTGGTCCACCTTAAACTTCAAAATTTCTCCAGGGAGCAAAAATAGGGCCTATATTGGTCCTTTAAGCTTCAAAATTCCTCCAGGGAGCAAAAATAGGGCGCATATTGGTCCTTTAAGCTTCAAAATTTGTCCAGGGAACAAACATGGGGTCTGTATTGGTCCACCTTAAGCTTCAAAATTCTTCCGGGGAGCAAACATAGGGCCTATATTGGTCCACCTTAAGGTAGTAGGTGAATTCAGCAACAATTAACCTGTTATTAATTTTTGTTTGAGCTAGCATATTATTTTGTTATATAGTAAGTAGTGGAGGTTCTACTAGTTATAGTAAAGTCGCAAGAAAGAATATTGCATATTGAGATGTTGATATTGAATATTGCACGGTTTGGTGACTAAGTCATTAAAAATCATTTAGCGTAAATTAAAAAATCCAAAAACACAAAAAGTATTAAACTCATAAAGAATAAAAAATCATTAAAACACATAAACATCATAAACAAACAACAGAAATCAATAATAAAAATAAAATTTGTTACTTATTACCCACAAAAACATAAACAAAACATAAACAAATTCATAAAAATCACAGAAACACATAATAAATATAACCAATCATAAAAAATCAAAAAAATATCAGTTTTTTTTTTGCAAAATGTCCAAATCATATCTGAAACATCATTAAAATATCATTAAAACATCAAAACCAATCATAAACAAGATAAACAACAAAATACTGTAGTTTTGTGGCCCAACTTGTAGATCTCAAGCCTAAGACCCATCCCGGAATGCAATGCTGAAGCCACACCGTACGAGCCTCCGCAATCACAGTGGGACCACCCCGGAGATCTGACTTGCGGACGATGGGAAAAGGGGAAAAGTGCCCCATTCGTTCTGTGGTCCTTTAGCAATTGGAGGCCATGCGTTCCATTCGTACTGGGATGATCAATGATGATCAACCCAGTTAGGAAACTTGGGAAGATGTACTTGGAAAGCTACAAGCTTCTCAACAGCTCACGCGGCAGAGGGGCACTTTTAGGGGGAACACATTTTCACGAGTCCTGGGTCCCAAGCTTCACTTTGATGTTTGCTGATGTTTGATTCAGTAGACATTCAATACATGATAGGCAGATGGTTTTTTAAGCACCAAATGTCCCAGTTGTGTCAGACCAACAGAGGTGGCCTTGATACAGGCCATTCTTTACCCTGGACTGAGGCACCACAGACCTGGTCGGGACCGTAGCAAAGCCCTTGAGGGATGGCCAGTCCATAAATCCCCTTAACCTAATATGATGGCCAGCCCCAGAAACCATGGTTTTAGGAGGGGATTGACACATCTTTGAGGCAAATAAAAAGGGGGTGTTTAGGAGGATGGGATTAATGGATACCATGGGATATCCCTCACATTGGTCATGATAAACCACGGTGAATTTGCACCGTGGGTCCCGGATCCAACACCATTGAGCCCAGTGGAACGACATAGCTGCTATAGCTTTGATAATCGCTTGGATATTGTTGGTACCCTCTCACAGAACATTCAAAAACGGTGAGACTTATGGCGTTTGGATATCAGAAACAGCTGCTGTGTTTCTCGAGGATTTGGATGAGATTGTTCAATCCAGAATTTTTGTGGAATGGATTGGGAAGATATGCGCCATGGTCAAGATCCCCATTGTGAGATGAATGTTCATAATCCATATACATATGTATATATAATCCATATATATATAATTATATATATATAATTGTTGGCTACATATACATATATTATATTATATTATATTATATTACATTATATTATATTATATTATATTATATATTATATCCACATGTCCATACTTTTTCGTACCGAGGCCAATCCCAGCAACGAGTACCGCTGTGCCAGCGGCTACGGCGGCACAGCCTCCATCTCCTGCTACCTGAGAGGTCCATTTGGGGCTGACCGTGGAGGATCAGCCCAGGGATCATGGGTGGTCTTTATACCCACAGTAAAAAATAAGTGGTTGATAACCATAGTTAGTTCATGTTAGTTCACCCAATAGTGGTTAATAAATCTTATTGACCATAGCTAATATAACCATAGTTAGTTCACCCAATAGTGGTTAATAAATCTTATTGACCATAGCTAGTATAACCATACTGTAGTTAGTTCACCCATCAGTGGTTAATAAATCTTATTGACCATAGCTAATATAACCATAGTTAGTTCACCCAATAGTGGTTAATAAATCTTATTGACCATAGCTAATATAACCATAGTTAGTTCACCCAATAGTGGTTAATAAATCTTATTGACCATAGCTAATATAACCATACTGTAGTTAGTTCACCCATCAGTGGTTAATAAATCTTATTGACCATAGCTAATATAACCATACTGTAGTTAGTTCACCCATCAGTGGTTAATAAATTAGCAAATGTTTATAGCCATGGATTTTCTGATTAATATGATATCTATACATAGTGTTGATAATCCTATTTAGATGGGATACCCACAATAGATGGTTCATAACCATAGTTCATTCACCCATTTATGGGATAAGCCAATGAATGGGGACGTACGATCACCAGGGTTACGATCACGAGTTACTTAATGGGATGATGATATTCGAATGGAACAAGATATTTCATGAGAAACACGGGACAAGAATCATGGGATAAAATGGAATATCATGGGGATATGATGGGATAAAGCCACCAATCTTCAGTGGGGATTTTTTTGTGGAAGTTGAAATGATGACCGCTTGGTGGTTTCACACATTTTTGTATTTTTTATTTACCTTATGACTGGAATGCAGATCCAATTTGACTCTTTTTGTGGGGATCGGTTGAAAACACCAACCAGATTTGCTGCGATAATTCAGACATGAAAAGCTCAGGGGGTAAGTGTATTGCTCCGGGATATTATGAACGGTGATATATACAGTATGTATATATATATAATTATATTTATGTATATATATATATAGACATTAAGAACTGGGATGTTGCCAAAGATGGGACTGCGAACACTGCAATTGATGATGGCTGGTTATTGATTGACACATATTGTTATACGTTGGTGAAATCTGAATGATGATGCTTTCATGGGATGGTCTCAACTTTCATCTGGTGTTGCGGAGGCGCCTATAGCAGCGTCACCGAAACGGTGCAGTGTAGCACCATCACGGACTTTGAGGGTTGTCACTGGGCGATATGCGCTACTGAAATTATGGGGCTAGATGGGGCTGGATGGGGTAGGTTTCAAGTAGAGAATAAGTAGCCACAAATTTGGATAACTGGACCTGTAGTACCACTCTTATAATTGTAGGGGACCGTCAGAGTGTGCCTGTCCGCCATTTATGAAGAACAACAATGTTTGTCATCTCTGAGACCGACAAAAATCAATCACCTAATGGAGAGGGGATTCCATTCTGCCACAGGAAGAGAAGGATTGTTGCAAGATTTTGTCAGCTCTGTATTCCATATATATATAATATAGATATGATTAAATATGGCTGAAGTTAACCCTTGACAAGATTCTGGAAGTGGTAACCCACCTTCGATATCCAAAATGCAGAGTTTTGGTGGAATTTCATACCCTTCTTTTCTCCAATTTTTCAGAAGGTTCCCCGGAGGGTAATCCATATGCCATGTTTTTTTTTTTGAGAACGTGCTATTACTCCCAAATCCCATTGGCTTATATTTTTTCGATTGAACTACAAGGTGGGGCCACCAGTTGTAAGATAGTTTATAAGTCCCACTAGCTATATATATATATATATATATGTATCATGAACCATAGTTATTGGATCTATGTTCACCAACTTAGCTATCGACCGGGGGCCCTAGGTCTGCCGCTGAGATCTTGCAGGGCTCCTGAGGTGGACAGCTGCCGCAGGGGAGCCCAGAGCAATATTTTGACGACATTCTTGGCACCCAAAGAGATAGAAGTTGGATGAAGTAAAGTCTAAATCTAAAATCAGTGATCGGTGGCTTTTCTATTTTGACTTCTATTTTGTTTGAAGGCTCTTATATGGTATATAAGTAGCAATTGATTGGGTCGGCTGTTTGGGCTAGTCCAATGGCATCATGTTTATTTCGTTTCGCTAACCAATCACTGCTCAGCTACATCGGAAGAGTGACTGTGCAGTGTCAATCTTGACACGAGAGCCAGACAGCTTTTGAAGCCACTATTTTTAGATCTTCTCAGACAGGGGTGCATGATTTTAGTTGACCCAAATTCAATCAAGTTCTGCTCGCATTCATTTAGGCTGTTTTTTCCCCCCTGAATTGCTTGCCCCATATATTTGCTGGAAACAACATTGTGTTTCAGTACTCCCAACAAGGGATCCCAAACTGATGCCTTCTGCATCAGCGAGAAAATCGGCAGAGCTAAATCACTTGGCAATTCCTGCTTAGTTCCCTGACCCCTGGGGGAGGAAAGAAAAGGAGCAATATGCCAAGGAAGCAAAACAGAAAAGAGTGTAGGCACAGAGCGTCCAGCAGGAGGCAAGGCGACAAATGACGGCACTGTGCCAAAAGTCAGGGGCCAAGCTCGGAAAATAACCTGTGGACCAGCAACTACACTAGAAAGCTCGAGAAAGGCCACAGCGTGCACTGAGCACAAAGAATGGCAACTCTTGCGCATTGTGTTTCCTCTCACATTGTTCTTTCACCATTCCGTTGATGATGACAAACCATCCCCATTTTGTTGCTTAAATAATCCCACCCCTAAAAAAACAATCTTTTTTGAGGATGTTCAATGAGGTTTAAAACGAAAAAATATAGATCATCTCGCAAAATCCGCACAACAGACAGGACTCCCCTTGGTCGCCCCACGGCAAGGTCATGATGTTTGGGCGTGCCGATCTCTGCAAGCTGGACAAACGTGCGCCACACGAGACGGGTGTGGGCCAGTGGGTTTGTCAAAGAACTGGATTTACACCCAACAAAGGGCGAATCCGAAAGGGAAAATGATGCTAAACCACCGGCCCATGTTTTTAACATACATTTGTTGAGATGTGCCAAGTTGTTCTTATCAAGTGGATTGATTAATTTGAGGGAAGCATTTTTTGACAGGAAATCCATTTTTTTGTTCGTTTTCAGAATGAAAAACATAGTTTTCCCTCAATTTTCCATAATTTTCCCTTGAAACAATTCTGGGAGTTTGGGCTTGTTGCAGATTTTCTCAACGCGATGAGTCCATGAGCTTCCCATTTCCCCTAGCAAGATGATAGAAGATAGGCTTGCAATGACTTTTAGTCCCTTTGAGACAAGACATGTATGGCCTGTGAAATGTGCATCTTGGATTGGATCTTGTTTAGTGACCAGAGCGGCAATTTCACATAGCGGGGCCGATTCGATGATTTACCGATTTACCATGATTTACCCTCTGGTTATGTCAAAATAGCTATTGAAAATGACCATTTATAGTGGATTTTCCCATTAAACATGGTGATTCTCCATAGTTTTTTGTATGTTTACCAGGCCGGGTACCTGTTGTTTTTTTTCCATGGCCACTTTACATTGCAATCCTGACCGGTGGCCGAGGTGCGAAGTGACCTGCGCTCCGCCTCTGGAGGGTTCACCCGCGACCTTCGAATGTCCTGCGGACAATGCCCCGGGGATGCAGCTGGAGGGGGCTAGAAACAATCCCAATCCCCTTACCCTCTGGTGAACTAACATAGCAATGGAAAATCACCATGTTTAATGGGAAAATCCACTATAAATAGCCATTTTCCATTGCTATGTTAGTTCACCAGAGGGTAAGCTTACTGGTGCTTAGCAAGGAATGGATGGGTTGCTGGGGGTTGCTGGGATGATTATGAAACTAGTGATTGTGGATCATTCCCGAAAATTCCCTGCGTAAAACGCACCAGTAAGTAAGATTGAGTACTTCTTCTATGGCCGGCCAAAGTTAAAAGATTCAATACTAAACCAGGAATTCCCAGGGCTTGTATTTAAACATTGGGATATATTGGGGGGATGGGGATTTGAGTGGAAATCTATGTAAAAATCTATTTTCTTTGGGACCGCAGGTTACTGGATGTGGTCAACTTTGAGTCTCTCCATTTTTCAGACACGGTGCCGAGGTGGTGCCTCAGCAAGTGGTACTTGGAGAATTGCCTGCCTGTCGCTTTCCCTTTGGGTGTGAGGTACGGGTCTTCAACCTTTTTGATATTCTGGAATTGGGACATATCTTGTCATCCCCGGTCTCTTGATGCTTAAATCAAGAACCATCCCAGTGTTGGCCATGGGTGAGAATGTTCCATTTTGGTGGCTGCATCATGGTTGTGAATTGATGGGTGGCTTGGAGTGCCTACAGAGTTTTGCAAACGGTCCCCCATTTTAGGAACCCCCCATGGACAGCAGGACAATGATATATCTACAAACGGTTTTTTTTGCCGCCGGCAGGAACCATTTCCATTGACTGAAGGCTATGTGAAGGCTGGGTTCACAGATGGTTTAGAAAAATCCCCGCCTTTCCAGGGAGTAATCTAAAATTTCAGTGCCTTCTTGTTGGTGTTTGATAGAGTTGTGAACTTCCAGCAGCATCTTTCAGTGGTTCGATTGAAGGCAATAACTTGTAGGACAAACAAGACTTATCACACGGCCTTACAGGTTTTCACCAATCTGACTACTATATATATATATATATTATAATGACTATAATAAACATAATGATAACAGCATAACAATAATAATGATCCTAATTGATAAATAATAATAATAACAACAACACACATATATATATATATGTATATAGAAAGCCTACGAAATTTTCAGGAACCCCCCGGAACACTCGAAATTGACCGCACACCAACATCTTCCCTGATTGGAATTGGCAGCAAACCAAAATTGAAGACTCAGAGAACTAGAGATTTTGGCGTTTTTTTGCAAACCATCCATTTTTTTGGGGTCAGATTTTGGCCCAGAGATGGGTCAACACTGATATCAAAAGTACCATGATATCTATGGTCCAGGTTTGAACCCACAGCCCTGATTGTTTGAAGGTGACACTTTCCATATGGGCATGCTTCAAATTTTGAGACAAACCACTTGGTCCAATTTTAGGAGCAAACCGCACCGTTTTTGGATACCAAAAAAAAAGGCCACATGCCCATACACTATACAGTATGGATTTGTCTGAACATGATTTGATCGCCATCAGTTGGTTCATCATTATATTTCTTGGTATATTTCCCATTGTTGATGTGTATCCCGCGACCAGATCAACGAGACCAGCTACACTTGCGATGAGGGTTTCATTGGGGAGGCCACATCAGCGGTAAAATCCGTAAATCGTGGGCCTGGGTGAAGAATCACTGACTCCAAATGGATGTTTTTTCTCCACAGATACCGAGGTTCAGCATGAACATGACTCCTGAGGATGGGGTGAAGAATGGCACGCGGGGCTTTGTCAGACATCGTATTTATCTATCTATGTATCTGTCTGTCTGTCTGTCTATCTATCGATCGATCGATCTATCTTATCTTATCTTATCTTATCTGTCTTATCTATCTTATCTATCTTATCTATTTTATCTATCTTATCTAATCTATCTAATCTATCTGATCTATCTGATCTATCTGATCGATCTGATCGATCTGATCGATCTGATCGATCTGATCTATCTGATCTATCTGATCTATCTGATCTATCTGATCTATCTGATCTATCTCGTCTATCTCGCCTATCTCGTCTATCTCATCTATCTCATCTATCTCATCTATCTCATCTATCTCATCTATCTCATCTATCTCATCTATCTCATCTATCTCATCTATCTCATCTATCTCATCTATCTCATCTATCTCATCTATCTCATCTATCTCATCTATCTCATCTATCTAATCTATCTAATCTATCTAATCTATCTAATCTATCTAATCTTTATAATCTATCTAATCTATCTAATCTATCTAATCTATCTAACCTAATCTAGTCTATCTAATCTAATCTAATCTAATCTATCTAATCTATCTAATCTATCTAATCTATCTAATCTAATCTAATCTAATCTAAATCTAAATCTAAATTAATCTAATCTAATCTAATCTAAATCTAAATCTAAATTAATCTAATCTAAATCTAAATTAATCTAATCTACTCTAAATCTAAATTAATCTACTCTAATCTAATCTAAATCTAAATCTAAATCTAAATTAGTCTAATCTAATCTAAATCTAAATCTAAATTAATCTAAATTAATCTAATCTAATCTAAATCTAAATCTAAATTAATCTAAATTAATCTAATCTAATCTAAATCTAAATCTAAATCTTACTCTTAATCTTAATCTTAATCTAAATTTATCTAATCTAATCTAATCTAAACTAATCTAATCTAATCTATCTATCTCAGTTCAGATGCTTTTTGTCACTGTAGTCACTATAGTCACTGATCACTGTGTTTGAGAGCAAAGAGATGGGATGTAACTCCTCTCACATCAGACTCTTTCCGTTTCGTTGATCTCTTGGCCAGTCACACATTGGATCAGAATGCATCATTTCAGACCTTGGGATTTTGGTCAGCTCTGCTAGTAAGCATCATATCAGTTTGCCTTGATTTGGGTACCCCCATCTCAAGACCCATTGTGACAGACATCCTGTGATTCACAAATCACATGAGTGCCCCAAGACCCTGTGGATTGTTTATTTATGGGGCTAATAACCTACCTGGTTGATTGGAGATTGTGAACCCAAGCAATTGATCCATCCAGATAATTTACCAATGGTTATCCATCGATTAACTATATTAACCTACCATTACAGTATTTCCCCATGATTTTCCAATAAACCAATGATTATTCTTGGGGATTTCATCCTTCTCTCCATGGGTCCAGGCGCAGTGGGATTGCTACCTGGAACGCCTCTGTTCCCCGGTGTTGGTGCTCAGTGGCTGCCACAAACTGGTGCCGTGCATGATCCCCGCGCCCGAGGCAGGGCTTCAAGAGGTGGACTCACCCGTCGAGTCCACCTCAATCTCCTGCGTATAGTCAATATTGTTATCACCATGACATCATGACTATATATCTGGGTAAATTATAACGACCTCACTGCGACCGAGCCCTGGAATCATGGTTAGTAAGGGAAATCATCCCCAAATGGCCTTAATTCAGGTTAGTGAATTATTATAATTTGCCCAGATATATTCTCCTAGCTGGAGTTACTTTGCAACGTTAATTGATTAATGCTTTTATCCACTATGATTCTTGGTTCTATTTGTCTACTGTTCCTGTTTTACGTTGTTTTCCTATTTTGCACTGCAAGGCTTATTATCATCTCGATTTTAAATGTATACGCGTCGATGCAGAGTAAGACCCAAAAAGATACTGAGAAAGTAGTTGGATGATGGTTACCAACCATAACTGGTTGGTGGTTTGGAACATGAATTTTATTTTTTTTCCATATATTGGGAACTTCATAATCCCATTTGACTCAACCATAATTATCAGGTTTCAAGATGCTTTTCGGATATCTTTTTGTCATTCACCATCGACCTCTGACGGCCAGGACCAGCTCTGCGGTCTTGACTACGACGTTTGCGCTAACCTGATGGGCGGCCAGAATTGCGAGGCAAGCGATTTGGGGTGAAATTGCCCTCTTGGAGATGGGAGATAGATAGAGATATAGATGTATATATAGATGTTTAGATGTATAGATGTATAAATGATTATAGATAAAACAATATCTACACACATATATATACATAAATTATATATATATGTATATGTTCCACATATCGACCATAAAGTATTTACGATTATTCGGATGCAATGATTTGTGGGACTATTGTAATAACCATTAGTTAATCACAACACACTGATCAGGAAAATCCTGGCTAGTTGAGGAGGAAAACCACTCTGCTTGGAAGTCTCTAATACAAAACTAACTCTTTCAGCCTGAAGTTGAGATCATGTGCCAGAACTGACTAATTAATGTTGCTTTGAAAAACCTCCATCTTATGGATGAACTGGAGTCTCTTCGAATTTCTTGACACGGCCATTTGATGGTTGGTTCATCTCCCCATGGTTGACAGGTGCCGTGATTTCCTGATCAGGTGCCATGCCTTCCCGGCTTTATTTTTTCCAATGCCACAGAGGACTGCAATGGGGTGGAACAGCTTTAGGGGACACAGTTATTTGCTGATCTTGGGATGGGCAATGCCATTTTCCTCCTAGGAGATTTTATGTCCGAGCTGGAGAGAATACCAGATGAGACCATGACAATTTTTTCAAGGTATTTGAACATTGAGAACCTTCTATTTGGGAATAAGCATAGAGTGCTTGTACGATTGAAATCATGTATATTATATACATTATGTATATATATATAATGTATATTATGCATATCATGCGTATTATGGATATGATGTATACTATGTGTATACATTACATATGTATATATATATATATGTATACACATACATATGACACACACACATATATATATATATACATAGACATGTATGGGGATAGCACAAGAAATCATTAGGAATTTTGTGTTTTCGTGCGACATGACTATCCCCTTTAGCAGAGGTTGAATCATCAATTTCCCATGCAGCGATGTTACATTACCAGAAGGTATTCACACTCCATTTTTCTGGCATTCTCTATAGGAATCCGAGTTTGACCGGTGATGGTTTTCTCGGATCTCAGAAATCATGTCTCTATCTGAAAAATCGGGTAACCGGGTAACCCCATTCCATCCATTGGTGAATCATTGTTTTCCCATCCGCAGACGTCCTGGAACCACGCTATGATCAACTGAACGAAGCTTCGCTGTGAATGGAAGCAGATTGGTCATTTTGCATCATTTCCCCATATTCCCAACAGCAAATCTGTTGGGTTTCAATCTTTGGGGCTGGGTACTGGTGACACGAAAATGCACGCCCCGAAAATCCGGAACAGTCCTGGAACCTTGCTGGAACCTTTCGCTGTTGGGTTGCAAAGCTGGGCTAATTTTCCCTAGTAGATTGCCCACAACTGGAGGGTATACAGTTAAAAACAAATCGGAACACAGGAGATGTCGAACGTGACGCAGGTGGAGCCGACTCCGCAAGGTGCGGAAAGGGACGGGTCGCAGGTTGGGTAGACCATAGTAAGATCATTTGTAAGATAGACATATTCCATGCATGTTGGCATATAATGGCATATATATATATGATGCGAAACAACAATGTGTTTTTTTCTTTAATGAATTGAATTTCGTCACTGGGACATAGTTGACCATAGTCACTAGGACATAGGGTGATGGGAATTGTGGAATATTGATCTTGATTAAAAGATCAACAAAGAAGATTGGAACAACTCTATGCAACTCTACGGGCTTGTAAAAAAGAAGTAGAAAAAGGGTGAGAGCAAAAATTCGGGTGTCCATGATAGCCCTTGGCGAGTTTAAACTTAGGGTCTCTGACCCCAGTCTCCATTCAACTCACATCAGTGTCGCTCTCGGTGCTGTGGCTTTGTATCAGGAGGGTCAGAATTTTACCTCCAAAGAAAAGGTGCTTCTGGTTTTGGTGGGTCAGTGGGTCAGCTATTGGCCGTTGCAGCGTCAGGAAACATCAGCCATCGCGCGATGGTCTTCACCTGCCCAGTGGAGAACATCGACCCTAATCAGGCAACACGGACCATGAAAAACGCTAATTTGGGATCTCTCTCTCTCTATGTATATAATTGTGTACATATATATATATATGGGTATTTGGACTTACTTGTTCTTCTTCCTATTTATATATACATATATATATATATATACACATATTATACATACATACATACATACATACATACATACATACATACATACATACATACATACATACATACATACATGCATGCATGCATGCATGCATGCATGCATGCATGCATACATACATACATACATACATCCATGCATGCATGCATGCATGCATGCATACATACGTACATACGTACATACGTACATACGTACATACGTACATACGTACATACGTACATACGTACATACGTACATACGTACATACGTACATACGTACATACGTACATACGTACATGCGTACATACGTACATACGTACATACGTACATACGTACATACGTACATACGTACATACGTACATACGTACATACGTACATACATACATACATACAGACAGACAGACAGACAGACAGACAGACATACATACATACATACATACATATTATCAGATGGTATTATTATCACTATCATTGACATATATCTTCTTATTTATATATGAATATCATCACCAGGGTCTTATCACTTTCATTGTTTCAAAAGATATCGTGGGACGTCTCTAGCATTGGACCCTGGTGTGTTAAACTTTTCTGGGTCTCGCCTCAGGTGATCATCTACGACGCACCTCGATGTATTTTTGAGGTGTGGAAGGGACGAAACCGGGATTCTACGGAACGATTTTCTGTGGGTGATGCATGTATAGGTATTATGTGGTGACAACAACCCTTCTATTTTCACAGTATTGAGAATATATCGCAACCCAAAAAGATAGAACATAGAACAGTACTAGTAACATTCATTTCTAAAATACAGGTAGATCTATTTTCAACCTGTGCTGCATCATTTTTTTTGGTGTTGTACCTAGCTTTAAGGAGGTTTGTTCATCGATACAACCTAATGCTGACCAGATTGCCACCAGCTATGCAGGCTTGTGTGGATCCAGACCCGACACCGGAAGGCCCAATTTGGGATTGGATCGGAACCCAAAACAGGAGATGAAATTCAGGTGTCACCGAAATCACTTCATTTTATGGAAACAACATCTTACAGTAATCTTACATGTCTTTAATGTCCTTCATGTTTGACTTCTGGAATCTTTCAACTTTCTGGAGTTCATCACATTGAGCACCACTAGACATCTCAGCAACGCGATGACCGTCCAGGTTATG